GTTTATATAGTCATTGTTAAAGTCAGTACACAGTTTATATAGTCATTGTTAAAGTCAGTACACAGTTTATATAGTCATTGTTAAAGTCAGTACACAGTTTATATAGTCATTGTTAAAGTCAGTACAGTTTATATAGTCATTGTTAAAGGCAGTACAGTTTATATAGTCATTGTTAAAGGCAGTACAGTTTATATAGTCATTGTTAAAGTCAGTACACAGTTTATATAGTCATTGTTAAAGGCAGTACAGTTTATATAGTCATTGTTAAAGTCAGTACAGTTTATATAGTCATTGTTAAAGTCAGTACAGTTTATATAGTCATTGTTAAAGGCAGTACAGTTTATATAGTCATTGTTAAAGGCAGTACAGTTTATATAGTCATTGTTAAAGGCAGTACAGTTTATATAGTCATTGTTAAAGGCAGTACAGTTTATATAGTCATTGTTAAAGTCAGTACAGTTTATATAGTCATTGTTAAAGTCAGTACAGTTTATATAGTCATTGTTAAAGGCAGTACAGTTTATATAGTCATTGTTAAAGTCAGTACAGTTTATATAGTCATTGTTAAAGTCAGTACACAGTTTATATAGTCATTGTTAAAGTCAGTACACAGTTTATATAGTCATTGTTAAAGTCAGTACACAGTTTATATAGTCATTGTTAAAGTCAGTACACAGTTTATATAGTCATTGTTAAAGTCAGTACACAGTTTATATAGTCATTGTTAAAGTCAGTACACAGTTTATATAGTCATTGTTAAAGGCAGTACACAGTTTATATAGTCATTGTTAAAGGCAGTACACAGTTTATATAGTCATTGTTAAAGTCAGTACACAGTTTATATAGTCATTGTTAAAGGCAGTACACAGTTTATATAGTCATTGTTAAAGTCAGTACACAGTTTATATAGTCATTGTTAAAGGCAGTACAGTTTATATAGTCATTGTTAAAGTCAGTACACAGTTTATATAGTCATTGTTAAAGTCAGTACACAGTTGATATAGTCATTGTTAAAGTCAGTACACAGTTTATATAGTCATTGTTAAAGTCAGTACACAGTTTATATAGTCATTGTTAAAGGCAGTACACAGTTTATATAGTCATTGTTAAAGTCAGTACACAGTTTATATAGTCATTGTTAAAGGCAGTACAGTTTATATAGTCATTGTTAAAGTCAGTACACAGTTTATATAGTCATTGTTAAAGGCAGTACACAGTTTATATAGTCATTGTTAAAGTCAGTACACAGTTTATATAGTCATTGTTAAAGGCAGTACAGTTTATATAGTCATTGTTAAAGTCAGTACACAGTTTATATAGTCATTGTTAAAGGCAGTACACAGTTTATATAGTCATTGTTAAAGTCAGTACACAGTTTATATAGTCATTGTTAAAGTCAGTACACAGTTGATATAGTCATTGTTAAAGGCAGTACACAGTTTATATAGTCATTGTTAAAGTCAGTACACAGTTTATATAGTCATTGTTAAAGTCAGTACACAGTTTATATAGTCATTGTTAAAGTCAGTACAGTTTATATAGTCATTGTTAAAGTCAGTACAGTTTATATAGTCATTGTTAAAGTCAGTACAGTTTATATAGTCATTGTTAAAGGCAGTACAGTTTATATAGTCATTGTTAAAGGCAGTACAGTTTATATAGTCATTGTTAAAGGCAGTACAGTTTATATAGTCATTGTTAAAGGCAGTACAGTTTATATAGTCATTGTTAAAGTCAGTACAGTTTATATAGTCATTGTTAAAGTCAGTACAGTTTATATAGTCATTGTTAAAGGCAGTACAGTTTATATAGTCATTGTTAAAGGCAGTACAGTTTATATAGTCATTGTTAAAGGCAGTACACAGTTTATATAGTCATTGTTAAAGTCAGTACACAGTTTATATAGTCATTGTTAAAGTCAGTACACAGTTTATATAGTCATTGTTAAAGTCAGTACACAGTTGATATAGTCATTGTTAAAGGCAGTACAGTTTATATAGTCATTGTTAAAGTCAGTACAGTTTATATAGTCATTGTTAAAGTCAGTACAGTTTATATAGTCATTGTTAAAGGCAGTACAGTTTATATAGTCATTGTTAAAGGCAGTACAGTTTATATAGTCATTGTTAAAGTCAGTACAGTTTATATAGTCATTGTTAAAGGCAGTACAGTTTATATAGTCATTGTTAAAGTCAGTACAGTTTATATAGTCATTGTTAAAGTCAGTACAGTTTATATAGTCATTGTTAAAGGCAGTACAGTTTATATAGTCATTGTTAAAGGCAGTACAGTTTATATAGTCATTGTTAAAGGCAGTACAGTTTATATAGTCATTGTTAAAGGCAGTACAGTTTATATAGTCATTGTTAAAGTCAGTACAGTTTATATAGTCATTGTTAAAGTCAGTACAGTTTATATAGTCATTGTTAAAGGCAGTACAGTTTATATAGTCATTGTTAAAGGCAGTACAGTTTATATAGTCATTGTTAAAGGCAGTACACAGTTTATATAGTCATTGTTAAAGTCAGTACACAGTTTATATAGTCATTGTTAAAGTCAGTACACAGTTTATATAGTCATTGTTAAAGTCAGTACACAGTTGATATAGTCATTGTTAAAGGCAGTACACAGTTTATATAGTCATTGTTAAAGTCAGTACACAGTTTATATAGTCATTGTTAAAGGCATTACAGTTTATATAGTCATTGTTAAAGGCAGTACACAGTTGATATAGTCATTGTTAAAGGCAGTACAGTTTATATAGTCATTGTTAAAGTCAGTACAGTTTATATAGTCATTGTTAAAGGCAGTACAGTTTATATAGTCATTGTTAAAGGCAGTACAGTTTATATAGTCATTGTTAAAGGCAGTACAGTTTATATAGTCATTGTTAAAGTCAGTACACAGTTGATATAGTCATTGTTAAAGTCAGTACACAGTTTATATAGTCATTGTTAAAGTCAGTACACAGTTTATATAGTCATTGTTAAAGGCAGTACACAGTTTATATAGTCATTGTTAAAGTCAGTACACAGTTTATATAGTCATTGTTAAAGGCAGTACAGTTTATATAGTCATTGTTAAAGTCAGTACACAGTTTATATAGTCATTGTTAAAGGCAGTACACAGTTTATATAGTCATTGTTAAAGTCAGTACACAGTTTATATAGTCATTGTTAAAGGCAGTACAGTTTATATAGTCATTGTTAAAGTCAGTACACAGTTTATATAGTCATTGTTAAAGGCAGTACACAGTTTATATAGTCATTGTTAAAGTCAGTACACAGTTTATATAGTCATTGTTAAAGTCAGTACACAGTTGATATAGTCATTGTTAAAGGCAGTACACAGTTTATATAGTCATTGTTAAAGTCAGTACACAGTTTATATAGTCATTGTTAAAGTCAGTACACAGTTTATATAGTCATTGTTAAAGTCAGTACAGTTTATATAGTCATTGTTAAAGTCAGTACAGTTTATATAGTCATTGTTAAAGTCAGTACAGTTTATATAGTCATTGTTAAAGGCAGTACAGTTTATATAGTCATTGTTAAAGGCAGTACAGTTTATATAGTCATTGTTAAAGGCAGTACAGTTTATATAGTCATTGTTAAAGGCAGTACAGTTTATATAGTCATTGTTAAAGTCAGTACAGTTTATATAGTCATTGTTAAAGTCAGTACAGTTTATATAGTCATTGTTAAAGGCAGTACAGTTTATATAGTCATTGTTAAAGGCAGTACAGTTTATATAGTCATTGTTAAAGGCAGTACACAGTTTATATAGTCATTGTTAAAGTCAGTACACAGTTTATATAGTCATTGTTAAAGTCAGTACACAGTTTATATAGTCATTGTTAAAGTCAGTACACAGTTGATATAGTCATTGTTAAAGGCAGTACAGTTTATATAGTCATTGTTAAAGTCAGTACAGTTTATATAGTCATTGTTAAAGTCAGTACAGTTTATATAGTCATTGTTAAAGGCAGTACAGTTTATATAGTCATTGTTAAAGGCAGTACAGTTTATATAGTCATTGTTAAAGTCAGTACACAGTTTATATAGTCATTGTTAAAGGCAGTACAGTTTATATAGTCATTGTTAAAGTCAGTACAGTTTATATAGTCATTGTTAAAGTCAGTACAGTTTATATAGTCATTGTTAAAGGCAGTACAGTTTATATAGTCATTGTTAAAGGCAGTACAGTTTATATAGTCATTGTTAAAGGCAGTACAGTTTATATAGTCATTGTTAAAGGCAGTACAGTTTATATAGTCATTGTTAAAGTCAGTACAGTTTATATAGTCATTGTTAAAGTCAGTACAGTTTATATAGTCATTGTTAAAGGCAGTACAGTTTATATAGTCATTGTTAAAGGCAGTACAGTTTATATAGTCATTGTTAAAGGCAGTACACAGTTTATATAGTCATTGTTAAAGTCAGTACACAGTTTATATAGTCATTGTTAAAGTCAGTACACAGTTTATATAGTCATTGTTAAAGTCAGTACACAGTTGATATAGTCATTGTTAAAGGCAGTACACAGTTTATATAGTCATTGTTAAAGTCAGTACACAGTTTATATAGTCATTGTTAAAGGCATTACAGTTTATATAGTCATTGTTAAAGGCAGTACACAGTTGATATAGTCATTGTTAAAGGCAGTACAGTTTATATAGTCATTGTTAAAGTCAGTACAGTTTATATAGTCATTGTTAAAGGCAGTACAGTTTATATAGTCATTGTTAAAGGCAGTACAGTTTATATAGTCATTGTTAAAGGCAGTACAGTTTATATAGTCATTGTTAAAGTCAGTACACAGTTTATATAGTCATTGTTAAAGGCAGTACAGTTTATATAGTCATTGTTAAAGTCAGTACACAGTTTATATAGTCATTGTTAAAGTCAGTACACAGTTTATATAGTCCTTGTAGAGTCCTGCACGTCGGCCATATTGATATATCTAATACTAACATCTCTCTCTGGTGTTTATGTTAAAATATGGTTACATACCCTGGCACTAACCCTCTCTCCCCTCTCTCTCTCCCCTCTCCCCCCTCTCTCTCTCCCCTCTCCCCCCTCTCTCTCTCCCCTCTCCCCCCTCTCTCTCTCCCCTCTCCCCCCTCTCTCTCTCCCCTCTCCCCCCTCTCTCTCTCCCCTCTCCCCCCTCTCTCTCTCCCCTCTCTCTCCCCCTCTCTCTCTCTCCCTCTCTCTCTCCCCTCTCTCTCCCCTCCCTCTCTCCCCTCCCTCTCTCTCCCCTCTCTCCCCTCTCTCTCTCCTCCCTCTCTCCCCTCTCTCTCCCCTCCCTCTCTCTCCCCTCTCTCTCCCCTCCCTCTCTCCCCTCCCTCTCTCTCCCCTCCCTCTCTCCCCTCTCTCTTCCCCCTCTCTCTCTCCCCTCCCTCTCTCCCCTCTCTCTCCCCCCTCTCTCTCTCCCCTCCCTCTCTCCCCTCTCTCTCCCCCCTCTCTCTCTCCCCTCCCTCTCCCCTCTCTCTCTCCCCTCCCTCTCTCCCCTCTCTCTCCCCCCTCCCTCTCTCCCCTCCATCTCTCCCCTCTCTCCCCCCTCTCTCTCTCCCCTCCCTCTCTCCCCTCTCTCTCCCCCCTCTCTCTCTCCCCTCCCTCTCCCCTCTCTCTCTCCCCTCCCTCTCTCCCCTCTCTCTCCCCCCTCCCTCTCTCCCCTCCATCTCTCCCCTCTCTCCCCCCTGTCTCTCTCCCCTCCCTCTCTCCCCCCTCCCTCTCTCCCCTCCCTCTCTCCCCCCTCCCTCTCTCCCCTCCATCTCTCCCCTCTCTCTCCCCCCTCCCTCTCTCCCCTCCATCTCTCCCATCTCTCTCCCCTCCCTCTCTCCCCTCTCTCCCCCATCTCTCTCTCCCCTCCCTCTCCCCCTCTCTCTCCCCCCTCCCTCTCTCCCCTCCATCTCTCCCCTCTCTCCCCCCTCTCTCTCTCCCCTCTCTCCCCCATCTCTCTCTCCCCTCCTTCTCTCCCCTCTCTCCCCTCTCTCTCTCCCCTCCCTCTCTCTCCCCTCTCTCTCCCCTCTCTCCCCCATCTCTCTCTCCCCCCTCCCTCTCTCCCCTCTCTCTCCCCCCTCCCTCTCTCCCCTCCATCTCTCCCCTCTCTCCCCCCTCTCTCTCTCCCCTCTCTCCCCCATCTCTCTCTCCCCCTTCTCTCCCCTCTCTCCCCTCTCTCTCTCCCCTCCCTCTCTCTCTCCTCTCTCTCTCCCTCTCTCTCCCCTCTCTCTCCCCTCTCTCCCCCTCCTCTCTCTACCCTCGCTCTCTCCTCTCTCTCCCCTCCCTCTCCCCCCTCCCTCTCTCCCCTCTCTCCCCTCCCTCCCCCCTCAGGCGGGGCAGACGCAGCTGCAGCAGTGGTACATAGCGCAGGTGCTTCAGGACCCCGGGTCAGACGAGCCGGGCTCAGGCAGTGGAGAGGACGACCGAGGGTCCTCGCAGGACGATGACATCATCAACACCAACAACTCCATCAACTCCATCAACGAGGGCGACTTCCAGAGCGGCGAGGACAGTCTGATCGCCAACGAGGTCCGCCACTGACATCAGCTGTCGAGAGGGGGAGGAGGACCAGGAGGAGGAGGACCAGGAGACACCGCCGCACCAGGAGGAGACACCGCCGCACCAGGAGGAGACAACGCCGCACCAGGAGGAGACACCAGTGAGAGCGTGGAGATGGTGTTTCTGTCTGAACAACTGGAGGAGGACAGCACGACCGAGACACCAGGAGAGGACAGCGCGACCGAGACACCAGGAGAGGACAGCGCGACCGAGACACCAGGAGAGGACAGCGCGACCGAGACACCAGGAGAGGACAGCGCGACCGAGACACCAGGAGAGGACAGCACGACCGAGACACCAGGAGAGGACAGCGCGACCGAGACACCAGGAGAGGACAGCGCGACCGAGACACCAGGAGAGGACAGCGCGACCGAGACACCAGGAGTGGACAGCGCGACCGAGACACCAGGAGAGGACAGCGTAACCAAGACACCAGGAGAGGACAGCGCGACCGAGACACCAGGAGAGGACAGCGCGACCGAGATACCAGGCGTGACCGAGACACCAGGAGAGGACAGCGCGACCGAGACACAAGGAGTGGACAGCGCGACCGAGACACCAGGAGAGGACAGCGCGACCGAGACACCAGGCGTGACCGAGACACCAGGAGAGGACATTGCGACTGAGACACCAGGAGAGGACAGCGTGACCAAGACACCAGGAGAGGACAGCGCGACCGAGACACCAGGAGTGGACAGCGCGACCGAGACACCAGGCGTGACCGAGACACCAGGAGAGGACATTGCGACTGAGACACCAGGAGAGGACAGCGTGACCGAGACACCAGGAGAGGACAGCGCGACCGAGACACCAGGCGTGACCGAGACACCAGGAGAGGACATTGCGACTGAGACACCAGGAGAGGACAGCGTGACCGAGACACCAGGAGAGGACAGCGCGACCAAGACACCAGGAGAGGACAGCGCGACCAAGAACCGTGTACCAGAGGATTGTGCTCCAGACAAATGTGCTCTAGGTGATGACTGTGCACCAGGTGAGGACTGTGCACCAGGTGAGGACTGTGCACCAGGTGGGGACTGTGCACCAGGTGAGGACTGTGAGCCCAGCTGACAAACCTCCCCAGTGCTGCGGCAGCGCCCTCTCTTATGCAACCCCCTACACTGCGGCTGGTCTGGTCTTTCTTTATGGTCTCAGAAGTACCAGGAACCGTCTTCATCTCTACCGTTCTGTCGCCTGTTCCCGAAACTTCATACGAGAACTTCAAACCACAGTTGCTACAGGTGTCAAAAGCCCAATTCTAGTCTCTCTCTGGTCTCTCGCTGATCTCTCTCTCTGGTCTCTCCCTCCCTCCTCTCTCTCTGGTCTCTCTCTGGTCTCTCTCTGGTCTCTCTCTGGTCTCTCTCTGGTCTCTCTCTGGTCTCTCTCTTGTCTCTCTCTGGTCTCTCTCTGGTCTCTCTCTGGTCTCTCTCTGGTCTCTCTCTTGTCTCTCTCTGGTCTCTCTCTGGTCTCTCTCTGGTCTCTCTCTGGTCTCTCTCTGGTCTCTCTCTGGTCTCTCTCTGGTCTCTCTCTGGTCTCTCTCTTGTCTCTCCCTCCCTCCTCTCTCTCTGGTCTCTCTCTGGTCTCTCTCTCTGGTCTCTCTCTGGTCTCTCTCTGGTCTCTCTCTGGTCTCTCTCTGGTCTCTCCCTCCCTCCTCTCTCTCTGGTCTCTCTCTGGTCTCTCTCTGGTCTATCTCTGGTCTCTCTCTGGTCTCTCCCTCCTCTCCTCTCTCTCTGGTCTCTCTCTGGTCTCTCTCTGGTCTCTCTCTGGTCTCTCTCTGGTCTCTCTCTGGTCTCTCTCTGGTCTCTCTCTCTGGTCTCTCTTTCTCTCTCTGGTCTCTCTCTGGTCTCTCCCTCTCTCTCTCTCTCTAGTCTCTCTCTTCTGGTCTCTCCCTCTGGTCTCTCTCTGTCTCTCTCTCTCCTCTCTCTTTCTCTCTCTCTCTCTTCTCTCTCTCTCTCTCTCTCTCTGGTCTCCTCTCTCTCTCTCTCTCTCTCCTCTCTCTCTCCTCTCTCTGGTCTCTCTCTCTCCTCTCTCTCTCTCTCTCTCTCTCTCTCTCTCCTCTGGTCTCATGAGCCTGGAGGTCGGTCCCCAGAAGAAGAGCAGAGCTTTTCTTTGGGACCACCTCAAACGTGTGATTTCTGAGTTCGCTTTGATTTTAAAAATGTGTTTTATTTCACTTTTTACGTCTATTTATATTTGAAGACTTTCTGTTAAAGCTGGAACACAAAGGGACAAGATTCATTCAACTCTCTCTCTCTGGTTCCTCTCTGGTCTCTCTCTGGTCTCTCTCTGGTCTCTCTCTGGTCTCTCTCTCTGGTCTCTCTCTCTGGTCTCTCTCTGGTCTCTCTCTGGTCTCTCTCTCTGGTCTCTCTCTGGTCTCTCTCTGGTCTCTCTCTGGTCTCTCTCTGGTCTCTCTGGTCTCCTCTCTGGTCTCTCTCTCTGGTCTCTGGTCTCTCTCTGGTCTCTCTCTGGTCTCTCTCTAGTCTCTCTCTAGTCTCTCTCTGGTCTCTCTCTGGCCTCTCTCTCTGGTCTCTCTCTAGTCTCTCTCTCTAGTCTCTCTCTGGTCTCTCTCTGGCCTCTCTCTCTGGTCTCTCTCTGGTCTCTCTCTGGTCTCTCTCTGGCCTCTCTCTCTGGTCTCTCTCTGGTCTCTCTCTGGTCTATCTCTCTGGTCTCTTGTCTCTCTCTGGTCTATCTCTCTGGTCTCTTGTCTCTCTCTGGTCTCTCTCTCTGGTCTCTCTCTCTGGCCTCTCTCTCTGGTCTCTCTCTGGTCTCTCTCTCTCTGGCCTCTCTCTCTGGTCTCTCTCTGGTCTCTCTCTGGTCTCTCTCTCTGGTCTCTCTCTGGTCTCTCTCTGGTCTCTCTCTGGTCTCTCTCTGGTCTCCCTCTGGTCTCTCTCTAGTCTCTCTCTGGTCTCTCTCTGGTCTCTCTCTGGTCTCTCTCTGGTCTCTCTCTGGTCTCTCTCAGGTTCTCTCTCTGGTCTCTCTCTGGTCTCTCTCTGGTCTCTCTCTGGTCTCTCTCTGGTCTCTGGTCTCTGGTCTCTCTCTCTCTGGTCTCTCTCTGGTCTCTCTCTGGTCTCTCTCTGGTCTCTCTCTGGTCTCTCTCTCTCTGGTCTCTCTCTGGTCTCTCTCTGGTCTCTCTCTGGTCTCTCTCTGGTCTCTCTCTGGTCTCTCTCTGGTCTCTCTCAGGTTCTCTCTCTGGTCTCTCTCTGGTCTCTCTCTGGTCTCTCTCTGGTCTCTCTCTGGTCTCTGGTCTCTGGTCTCTCGGACTCGGACCCAGCTGTGTAAAAAGTCTCAGTTGGTTCCAGACAGATGCTAAACTGTGAAAGCTGTCGACTCATCACATTTATTTATTTATGTATTTATGGTTCTGCGGCGGTTTCAAAGTCAGAGATTCTCAGGTCTCTCCTGGTCTCTCTCTGCTCTCTGGTTCTGAGGGACCAGGGGACACCATGAGGACAGTCTCACAGTCACTGTTTCCCATGATCCTCTTTGATTCTGCTCTGACCACTTCCTGTTTATTTATTCATGACTTTGTGTTTTCATCGACAGCCGGAGAATTGCATCTGTCTCAAATCTTGATTCTGAAAAGGAAATGAGGTCTGAACCACCAGCTCCCACTCTGGTCCCACTCTGGTCTCTCTCTGGTCCCACTCTGGTCTCTCTCTGGTCCCACTCTGGTCTCTCTCTGGTCCCACATGGTCTCTCTCTGGTCCACTCTGGTCTCTCTCTGGTCTCTCTCTGGTCTCTCTCTGGTCCCACACTGGTCTCTCTCTGGTCCCACTCTGGTCTCTCTCTGGTCTCTCTCTGGTCCCACTCTGGTCTCTCTCTGGTCTCTCTCTGCTCTCTCTCTGGTCCCACTCTGGTCTCTCTCTGGTCTCTCTCTGCTCTCTCTCTGCTCTCTCTGGTCTCTCTCTGGTCTCTCTCTCTGGTTTCTCTCTGATCTCTCTCCCTCTGGTCTCCTCTGGTCCCTCGTTAGGAGCTGCTGGGTCCTGATCCTGAGTCAGATGTAAATATTAAAATGTGACGTGTTTGAATTGAGTGAGAATCATGTCACGAAACAATAAAACCAGCTTCATCTGAAACTTGGTCTTTGTCTGAGTGAAAAAGTCTCTCTGGTCTCTTTCTGGTCCCTCTCTAGTCTCTCTCTGGTCTCTCTCTGGTCTCTCTCTGGTCTCTCTCTGGTCTCTCTCTGGTCCCTCTCTAGTCTCTTTCTGGTCTCTCTCTCTGGTCCCTCTATAGTCTCTCTCTGGTCTCTCTCTGGTCTCTCCCTCTGGTCTCCCTCTGGTCTCTCTCTGGTCTCTCTCTAGTCTCTCTCTGGTCTCTCTCTCTGGTCTCTCTCTGGTCTCCCTCTGGTCTCTCTCTGGTCTCTCTCTGGTCTCTCCCTCTGGTCTCTCTCTGGTCACTCTCTGGTCTTCCTCTGGTCTCTCTCTGGTCTCTCTCTGGTCTGCCTCTGGTCTCTCTCTGGTCTCTCTCTGGTCTCTCTCTAGTCTCTCTCTGGTCTCTCTCTGGTCTCCCTCTGGTCTCTCTCTGGTCTCTCTCTCTGGTCTCTCTCTGGTCTCTCTCCCTGGTCTCTCTCTGGTCTCTCTCTGGTCTCTCTCTCTGGTCCCTCTATAGTCTCTCTCTGGTCTCTCTCTGGTCTCTCTCTGGTCTCTCTCTGGTCACTCTCTGGTCTCCCTCTGGTCTCTCTCTGGTCTCCCTCTGGTCTCTCTCTGGTGTCTCTCTGGTCACTCTCTGGTCTCTCTCTGGTCTCTCTCTGGTCTCCCTCTGGTCTCTCTCTGGTCTCTCTGGTCTCTCTCTGGTCTCTCTCTGGTCTCTCTCTGGTCTCTCTCTGGTCTCTCTCTGGTCTCCCTCTGGTCTCTCTCTGGTCTCCCCCCTGGTCTCTTTATTTTGTTTTTAATATTTAGAAGCAGGGCAATGTTTAAAAATGAGAAGTAAATGTACAGTATTCCCGGTACCAGGGACATATACTCGAGTACACTACTAAAAGTATTTTCCCATCATGCACTCACGCCGGTTTAACTGTCATTCCCCGTGTGTCCAGCAGGGGGCGCCGAGCTGCTAAATAAACCAAACAGCAGCGAAAAGAGAAACATATTAAATAAATGTCTTTGGTCACTCGCTTCTTCTTGTATTATTTAGAAGCAAGGCTAACAATTAGAAGCATGGTTAGTATTTATAGACATGGCTGATAAATGTAATCAAGTTTAATTTTAAAATAATAAAATATAAATAACCGGAAACAGGAAGTGACGTAGCGAGAGCGTCTTCCGCAGTCACGCAAACAAAGATGGCGGACGGTGAGTTCATTGTTTCAAATATTCCACATCTTTCTCTGTGTATGCGTCAGGCGGAGCTCCCTCTCCTCCTGGCTCAGTATGCGCTCTGCGGGGCTCTCCCTCCGCGGTCTGAGCCCCGGGTTTGACGCAGTTCCAGGCGGAGCTCTGCTGCAGAAGGACCTCGGTCACATCCCGCTCGGAGCAGGAGAAACAACTGCATCCATATCTATATTTATATTTATTATTTTATTTATGTTAATTTTTCATATTATTAATAACGTAAATGAACTGGATAAATATGTGTTTTACTGGACGCGGAGCAGAGCGTCCTGTCGCAGAAACCGTCTTTGGAGCAGACAGTGACGTCACTGCTGCTGTTGTGACGTTACTGCTGCTGCTGTGACGTCACTGCTGCTGCTGTGACTTTCTACATCAATACTTTATAATCAGCAACTTCGTCAGTACCGCCCGCTGCACGGTTTAGACTAAATAATACATACTGTTTATCCTTTTAATTATTAATCCTTTAGGCGCCTCTCTGGTCTCTCTCTCTGGTCTCTCTCTCTGGTCTCTCTCTGGTCTCTCTCTCTGGTCTCTCTCTGGTCTCTCTCTCTGGTCTCTCTCTCTGGTCTCTCTCTGGTCTCTCTCTGGTCTCTCTCTCTGGTCTCTCTCTGGTCTCTCTCTCTGGTCTCTCTGGTCTCTCTCTCTGGTCTCTCTCTGGTCTCTCTCTCTGGTCTCTCCCTGGTCTCTCTCTGGTCTCTCTCTGGTCTCTCTCTGGTCTCTCTCTGGTCTCTCTCTGGTCTCTCTCTCTGGTCTCTCTCTGGTCTCTCTCTGGTCTCTCTCTCTGGTCTCTCTCTGGTCTCTCTCCCTGGTCTCTCTCTGGTCTCTCTCTGGTCTCTCTCTCTGGTCTCTCTCTGGTCTTTCTGTGGTCTCTCTCTGGTCTCTCCCTCTGGTCTCTCTCTGGTCTCTCTCTGGTCTCTCTCTGGCCTCTCTCTCTGGTCTCTCTCTGGTCTCTCTCCCTGGTCTCTCTCTGGTCTCTCTCTGGTCTCTCTCTCTGGTCTCTCTCTGGTCTTTCTGTGGTCTCTCTCTGGTCTCTCCCTCTGGTCTCTCTCTGGTCTCTCCCTCTGGTCTCTCCCTCTGGTCTCTCCCTCTGGTGTCTCTCTCTGGTGTCTCTCCCTCTGGTCTCTCTCTGGTCTCTCCCTCTGGTCTCTCTCTGGTGTCTCTCTCTGGTCTCTCCCTCTGGTCTCTCTCGGGTCTCTCTCTGGTCTCTCTCTGGTCTCTCTGGTCTCTCTCTCTGGTCTCTCTCTCTGGTCTCTCTCTGGTCTCTCTCTGGTCTCTCTCTGGTCTCTCTGGTCTCTCTCTCTGGTCTCTCTCTGGTCTCTCTGGTCTCTCTCTCTGGTCTCTCTCTCTGGTCTCTCTCTGGTCTCTCTCCCTGGTCTCTCTCTGGTCTCTCTCTGGTCTCTCTCTCTGGTCTCTCTCTGGTCTTTCTGTGGTCTCTCTCTGGTCTCTCCCTCTGGTCTCTCTCTGGTCTCTCCCTCTGGTCTCTCCCTCTGGTCTCTCCCTCTGGTCTCTCCCTCTGGTGTCTCTCTCTGGTGTCTCTCCCTCTGGTCTCTCCCTCTGGTCTCTCTCTGGTCTCTCTCTCTGGTCTCTCTCTCTGGTCTCTCCCTCTGGTCTCTCTCGGGTCTCTCTCTGGTCTCTCTCTGGTCTCCCTCTGGTCTCTCTCTGGTCTCTCTCTGGTCTCCCTCTGGTCTCTCTCTGGTCTCTCTCTGGTCTCTCTCTGGTCTCTCTCTGGTCTCTCTCTGGTCTCCCTCTGGTCTCCCTCTGGTCTCTCTCTGGTCTCCCTCTGGTCTCCTTCTGGTCTCCCTCTGGTCTCTGATGTCTCTGTTCTGTGTCTTCAGATCACACAGATGCAGATCAGGCCATGGAAACACACACTCCGGTGAGTTTCACTGATGTTTGTAGATGATGGTCCTCTCTCTGATGGTCCTCTCTCTGATGGTCCTCTCTCTCTGCTCTGATGGTCCTCTCTCTCTCTGCTCTGATGGTCCTCTCTCTCTGCTCTGATGGTCCTCTCTCTCTCCCTCCTCTGCTCCTCTCTCTCTCTCTCCGTGCTCTGATGGTCCCCTCTCTGCTCACACGGTACCCACATGGTCCCAGGTGTCGGAGGCCCCAGACTTCCTGTCGGACTCTCTTCGTGCTGTGGACGGAGACAAAGGGACAGAGAAGAAGCAGAAAGTGGATCTACAGGCGCTGCCGACCCGGGCCTACCTGGACCAGACCGTGGTCCCCATCCTCCTGCAGGGCCTGTCTGTGCTGGCCAAGGAGAGGTGAGACACATGGTATCTGTGCTGGTGTCTGTCTGTGCTGGCCAAGGAGAGGTGAGACACATGGTATCTGTGCTGGTGTCTGTCTGTGCTGGCCAAGGAGAGGTGAGACACATGGTATCTGTGCTGGTGTCTGTCTGTGCTGGCCAAGGAGAGGTGAGACACATGGTATCTGTGCTGGTGTCTGTCTGTGCTGGCCAAGGAGAGGTGAGACACATGGTATCTGTGCTGGTGTCTGTCTGTGCTGGCCAAGGAGAGGTGAGACACATGGTACCTGTGTCTGTGCTGGCCAAGGAGAGGTGAGACACATGGTATCTGTGCTGGTGTCTGTCTGTGCTGGCCAAGGAGAGGTGAGACACATGGTATCTGTGCTGGTGTCTGTCTGTGCTGGCCAAGGAGAGGTGAGACACATGGTACCTGTGCTGGTGTCTGTCTGTGCTGGCCAAGGAGAGGTGAGACACATGGTACCTGTGCTGGTGTCTGTCTGTGCTGGCCAAGGAGAGGTGAGACACATGGTACCTGTGCTGGTGTCTTGTCTGTGCTGGCTAAGGAGAGGTGAGACACATGGTACCTGTGCTGGTGTCTGTCTGTGCTGGCCAAGGAGAGGTGAGACACATGGTACCTGTGCTGGTGTCTGTCTGTGCTGGCCAAGGAGAGGTGAGACACATGGTACCTGTGCTGGTGTCTTGTCTGTGCTGGCTAAGGAGAGGTGAGACACATGGTACCTGTGCTGGTGTCTGTCTGTGCTGGCCAAGGAGAGGTGAGACACATGGTACCTGTGCTGGTGTCTTGTCTGTGCTGGCTAAGGAGAGGTGAGACACATGGTATCTGTGCTGGTGTCTGTCTGTGCTGGCCAAGGAGAGGTGAGACACATGGTACCTGTGCTGGTGTCTGTCTGTGCTGGCCAAGGAGAGGTGAGACACATGGTACCTGTGCTGGTGTCTGTCTGTGCTGGCCAAGGAGAGGTGAGACACATGGTACCTGTGCTGGTGTCTTGTCTGTGCTGGCTAAGGAGAGGTGAGACACATGGTATCTGTCTGTGCTGGCCAAGGAGAGGTGAGACACATGGTACCTGTCTGTGCTGGCCAAGGAGAGGTGAGACACATGGTATCTGTCTGTGCTGGCCAAGGAGAGGTGAGACACATGGTATCTGTCTGTGCTGGCCAAGGAGAGGTGAGACACATGGTACCTGTGCTGGTGTCTGTCTGTGCTGGCTAAGGAGAGGTGAGACACATGGTACCTGTGCTGGTGTCTGTCTGTGCTGGCCAAGGAGAGGTGAGACACATGGTACCTGTGCTGGTGTCTTGTCTGTGCTGGCTAAGGAGAGGTGAGACACATGGTATCTGTGCTGGTGTCTGTCTGTGCTGGCCAAGGAGAGGTGAGACACATGGTACCTGTGCTGGTGTCTGTCTGTGCTGGCCAAGGAGAGGTGAGACACATGGTACCTGTGCTGGTGTCTGTCTGTGCTGGCCAAGGAGAGGTGAGACACATGGTACCTGTGCTGGTGTCTTGTCTGTGCTGGCTAAGGAGAGGTGAGACACATGGTATCTGTCTGTGCTGGCCAAGGAGAGGTGAGACACATGGTACCTGTCTGTGCTGGCCAAGGAGAGGTGAGACACATGGTATCTGTCTGTGCTGGCCAAGGAGAGGTGAGACACATGGTATCTGTCTGTGCTGGCCAAGGAGAGGTGAGACACATGGTACCTGTGCTGGTGTCTGTCTGTGCTGGCTAAGGAGAGGTGAGACACATGGTATCTGTCTGTGCTGGCCAAGGAGAGGTGAGACACATGGTACCTGTCTGTGCTGGCCAAGGAGAGGTGAGACACATGGTATCTGTCTGTGCTGGCCAAGGAGAGGTGAGACACATGGTACCTGTCTGTGCTGGCCAAGGAGAGGTGAGACACATGGTACCTGGTAGTCTCGCGGACGCGGACTCTCTCGCTCTCTCTCTGACTCTCTGACTCTCTCTCTCTCTCGCAGACGCTCTCTCACAGACGCTCTCGCAGACACAGACGCTCTCGCAGACACAGACGCTCTCGCAGACACAGACGCGCTCGCAGACACAGACGCTCTCGCAGACACAGACGCGCTCGCGGTCACAGACGCGCTCGCAGACACAGACGCTCTCGCAGACACAGACGCGCTCGCAGACACAGACGCTCTCGCAGACACAGACGCGCTCGCAGACACAGACGCTCTCGCAGACACAGACGCGCTCGCAGACACAGACGCGCTCGCAGACACAGACGCGCTCGCAGACACAGACGCGCTCGCAGACACAGACGCTCTCGCAGACACAGACGCTCTCGCAGACAGACACAGACGCGCTCGCAGACACAGACGCGCTCGCAGACACAGACGCTCTCGCAGACACAGACGCTCTCGCAGACACAGACGCTCTCGCAGACACAGACGCGCTCGCAGACACAGACACAGACGCGCTCGCAGACACAGACGCGCTCGCAGACACAGACGCGCTCGCAGACACAGACGCGCTCGCAGACGCGGTCGCAGACACAGACGCGGTCGCAGACACAGACGCGGTCGCAGACACAGACGCGGTCGCAGACACAGACGCGGTCGCAGACACAGACGCGCTCGCAGACACAGACGCGCTCGCAGACACAGACGCGCTCACAGACGCGGTCGCAGACACAGACGCGCTCACAGACGCGGTCGCAGATACAGACGCGGTCGCAGACACAGACGCGGTCGCAGACACGGTCGCAGACGCGGTCGCAGACGCGGTCGCAGACGCGGTCGCAGACGCGGTCGCAGACGCGGTCGCAGACACAGACGCGGTCGCAGACACAGACGCTCTCGCAGACACAGACGCTCTCGCAGACACAGACGCGCTCACAGACGCGGTCGCAGACGCGGCCGCAGACACAGACACAGACGCGGTCGCAGAAACAGACGCGGTCGCAGACACAGACGCGGTCGCAGAAACAGACGCGGTCGCAGACACAGACGCGGTCGCAGACACAGACGCGGTCGCAGACACAGACGCGGTCGCAGACACAGACGCGGTCGCAGACACAGACGCAGACGCGGTCGCAGACACAGACGCTCTCGCAGACGCGGTCGCAGACACAGACGCTCTCGCAGACGCTCTCGCAGACGCGCTCGCAGACACAGACGCTCTCGCAGACACAGACGCTCTCGCAGACGCGCTCGCAGACACAGACGCGCTCGCAGACGCAGACGCGCTCGCAGACACAGACGCTCTCGCAGACACAGACGCTCTCGCAGACGCGCTCGCAGACACAGACGCGCTCGCAGACACAGACGCGCTCGCAGACACAGACGCTCTCGCAGACACAGACGCGCTCGCAGACGCGCTCTCGCAGACACAGACGCTCTCGCAGACACAGACGCTCTCGCAGACACAGACGCGCTCTCGCAGACACAGACGCGCTCGCAGACACAGACGCGCTCGCAGACGCTCTCGCAGACACAGACGCTCTCGCAGACACAGACGCTCTCGCAGACACAGACGCGCTCTCGCAGACACAGACGCGCTCGCAGACGCTCTCGCAGACACAGACGCGCTCTCGCAGACACAGACGCGCTCTCGCAGACACAGACGCGCTCGCAGACACAGACGCGCTCGCAGACGCGCTCGCAGACGCGCTCGCAGACGCTCTCGCAGACAGACGCGCTCGCAGACACAGACGCGCTCACAGACGCGCTCGCAGACACAGACGCGCTCACAGACGCGCTCGCAGACACAGACGCGCTCGCAGACAGACGCCGCTCGCAGACGCTCTCGCAGACGCTCTCGCAGACGCTCTCGCAGACGCTCTCGCAGACACAGACGCGCTCTCGCAGACACAGACGCGCTCGCAGACGCGCTCGCAGACGCTCTCGCAGACACAGACGCGCTCGCAGACACAGACGCGCTCACAGACGCGCTCGCAGACACAGACGCGCTCGCAGACAGACGCGCTCGCAGACAGACGCGCTCGCAGACGCGCTCACAGACGCGCTCGCAGACAGACGCGCTCGCAGACGCAGACGCGCTCGCAGACGCGCTCGCAGACGCGCTCGCAGACGCGCTCGCAGACGCGCTCGCAGACGCGCTCGCAGACGCGCTCGCAGACGCAGACGCGCTCGCAGACGCAGACGCGCTCGCAGACGCGCTCGCAGACGCGCTCGCAGACGCTCTCGCAGACGCGCTTGCAGACGCTCTCGCAGACGCTCTCGCAGACGCTCTCGCAGACGCTCTCGCAGACGCTCTCGCAGACACAGACGCTTTCGCAGACACAGACGCGCTCGCAGACACAGACTTGCTCGCAGACACAGACGCGCTCGCGGAGAGAGGACAGTTTTTTTCTGTCAGTCTCAGAATGATCCAATCAGAGGCTAAAGTCTAAAATGTCCCAAAACATTTGTCAATCTTTCCTTCAGCCCTATATTCAGACGGGATCAGTTTTACATAAGGACTGCTGGTAATCTGTGATAATCCCAGAGGTCTGTGATTTTAGTCCCGTGGGAATGTTCCATGTCTGTAATCTGTAAAGTAATAACTCCAACACAAATGTCCAAACACAGACTGTGATAATCCTGCTCCTGTGGATCTGCAGGTCAGTGACTGTGATAATCCTGCTCCTGTGGATCTGCAGGTCAGTGACTGTGATAATCCTGCTCCTGTGGATCTGCAGGTCAGTGACTGTGATAATCCTGCTCCTGTGGATCTGCAGGTCAGTGACTGATAATCCTGCTCCTGTGGATCTGCAGGTCAGTGACTGATAATCCTGCTCCTGTGGATCTGCAGGTCAGTGACTGTGATAATCCTGCTCCTGTGGATCTGCAGGTCAGTGACTGTGATAATCCTGCTCCTGTGGATCTGCAGGTCAGTGACTGATAATCCTGCTCCTGTGGATCTGCAGGTCAGTGACTGATAATCCTGCTCCTGTGGATCTGCAGGTCAGTGACTGATAATCCTGCTCCTGTGGATCTGCAGGTCAGTGACTGATAATCCTGCTCCTGTGGATCTGCAGGTCAGTGACTGATAATCCTGCTCCTGTGGATCTGCAGGTCAGTGACTGTGATAATCCTGCTCCTGTGGATCTGCAGGTCAGTGACTCTGATAATCCTGCCGCCTTCTCTTTACTTTCTGCTTTGTTTTTGTCAAAGAGCTGGAGTTGTGGACCGCGGCTGTGTACACAGCTGCAGCTGTCTCTGTGAGGTCTGTGGAGAAGAGGACAGTGTAATGTGTTCACTGACACTAAATGATCGTTTGTACGTGTACTGCCCTCTGTCCTGATCACAGACTGTATATGTCCAACTACAGCACAGACGTCAGCAGAGTGTGTGGTGCGTTCAGGGGGAGTCCGTACAAACAGTATTGTTTAAACATTACAGACAGAACGACGTCGGTCTCTATGGGCTGCTGTGGTCAGACGTCGGTCTCTGTGGGCTGCTGTGGTCAGACGTCGGTCTCTGTGGGCTGCTGTGGTCAGACGTCGGTCTCTATGGGCTGCTGTGGTCAGACGTCGGTCTCTATGGGCTGCTGTGGTCAGATGTCAGTCTCTATGGGCTGCTGTGGTCAGACGTCGGTCTCTATGGGCTGCTGTGGTCAGACGTCGGTCTCTATGGGCTGCTGTGGTCAGATGTCGGTCTCTGTGGGCTGCTGTGGTCAGACGTCGGTCTCTATGGGCTGCTGTGGTCAGACGTCGGTCTCTATGGGCTGCTGTGGTCAGATGTCGGTCTCTGTGGGCTGCTGTGGTCAGACGTCGGTCTCTATGGGCTGCTGTGGTCAGACGTCGGTCTCTATGGGCTGCTGTGGTCAGACGTCGGTCTCTATGGGCTGCTGTGGTCAGACGTCGGTCTCTGTGGGCTGCTGTGGTCAGATGTCGGTCTCTGTGGGCTGCTGTGGTCAGATGTCGGTCTCTGTGGGCTGCTGTGGTCAGACGTCGGTCTCTGTGGGCTGCTGTGGTCAGATGTCGGTCTCTATGGGCTGCTGTGGTCAGACGTCGGTCTCTATGGGCTGCTGTGGTCAGACGTCGGTCTCTATGGGCTGCTGTGGTCAGACGTCGGTCTCTATGGGCTGCTGTGGTCAGACGTCGGTCTCTATGGGCTGCTGTGGTCAGACGTCGGTCTCTATGGGCTGCTGTGGTCAGACGTCGGTCTCTATGGGCTGCTGTGGTCAGACGTCGGTCTCTGGGCTGCTGTGGTCAGATGTCGGTCTCTGTGGGCTGCTGTGGTCAGACGTCGGTCTCTATGGGCTGCTGTGGTCAGACGTCGGTCTCTGTGGGCTGCTGTGGTCAGATGTCGGTCTCTGTGGGCTGCTGTGGTCAGATGTTGGTCTCTGTGGGCTGCTGTGGTCAGATGTCGGTCTCTATGGGCTGCTGTGGTCAGACGTCGGTCTCTATGGGCTGCTGTGGTCAGATGTCGGTCTCTATGGGCTGCTGTGGTCAGACGTCGGTCTCTATGGGCTGCTGTGGTCAGACGTCGGTCTCTATGGGCTGCTGTGGTCAGACGTCGGTCTCTATGGGCTGCTGTGGTCAGATGTCGGTCTCTATGGGCTGCTGTGGTCAGATGTTGGTCTCTATGGGCTGCTGTGGTCAGATGTCGGTCTCTATGGGCTGCTGTGGTCAGATGTCGGTCTCTGTGGGCTGCTGTGGTCAGATGTTGGTCTCTATGGGCTGCTGTGGTCAGATGTCGGTCTCTGTGGGCTGCTGTGGTCAGATGTTGGTCTCTGTGGGCTGCTGTGGTCAGATGTCGGTCTCTATGGGCTGCTGTGGTCAGACGTTGGTCTCTATGGGCTGCTGTGGTCAGATGTCGGTCTCTATGGGCTGCTGTGGTCAGATGTCGGTCTCTATGGGCTGCTGTGGTCAGATGTTGGTCTCTGTGGGCTGCTGTGGTCAGATGTCGGTCTCTATGGGCTGCTGTGGTCAGACGTCGGTCTCTGTGGGCTGCTGTGGTCAGACGTCGGTCTCTATGGGCTGCTGTGGTCAGACGTCGGTCTCTATGGGCTGCTGTGGTCAGACGTCGGTCTCTATGGGCTGCTGTGGTCAGATGTCGGTCTCTATGGGCTGCTGTGGTCAGATGTTGGTCTCTATGGGCTGCTGTGGTCAGATGTCGGTCTCTATGGGCTGCTGTGGTCAGATGTCGGTCTCTGTGGGCTGCTGTGGTCAGATGTTGGTCTCTATGGGCTGCTGTGGTCAGATGTCGGTCTCTGTGGGCTGCTGTGGTCAGATGTTGGTCTCTGTGGGCTGCTGTGGTCAGATGTCGGTCTCTATGGGCTGCTGTGGTCAGACGTCGGTCTCTATGGGCTGCTGTGGTCAGACGTCGGTCTCTATGGGCTGCTGTGGTCAGACGTCGGTCTCTATGGGCTGCTGTGGTCAGACGTCGGTCTCTATGGGCTGCTGTGGTCAGACGTCGGTCTCTATGGGCTGCTGTGGTCAGACGTCGGTCTCTATGGGCTGCTGTGGTCAGACGTCGGTCTCTATGGGCTGCGTGAAGCGGAGAGACCCGCGCACGGCCTGATGTCAGATGTCAGTGAAAATGACAGACGTTGCTGATCCCGTGTGAATGCAGTGTCAGATCTCAGACCTCTGTGAATATCACAGATTACCAGGGCTCCTCATGTAAAACTAATCCCGTCTGAATAGGGCTCTAGATTTTATCCACACTCTGTCTTGGATCTGTTTGGAAAAAGAAGAATTCAAACACAATCTATAAAAGTCATTTTAGTTTTAACCTGTTAAAGTCCAAATACTTTAATCATCTCTTTTCTGTGAACACACTCCTCTATAACAGCCTCGGGTCCTGGTCTCGGGTCCAGCATGTGACACTTTAATAATCCATTCTTAACCATATTATGTATCTGTTGTTACAAACATGTCTGTTTTAGTCTCGCTCTGATCAGTCACTCACCTCTTTTGCATATTCTCTCTCTCCCTCTCCTCCCCCATGTCTCCCCCCTCCCTCCCCCACAGACCTCCTAACCCCATAGAGTTCCTGGCCACGTTCCTGCTGAAGAACAAGTCTCAGTTCGACGACAGAACCTGAACCTTTTTCTTTTACTGTTTTTGTATTTTTTTCTTTGTGTAAATTAAAAATAATTGTCCATGTTCGTCTGAGTTTATTAGAAAGTCTCTCTCTCTCTCCTCTCCTTTTCTCTCTTCTCTTTTCTCTCCTTTTCTTTCTTTTCTCTCTCTCCTTTTCTCTTTCCTTTTCTCTCTCTCTCTCTCTCTCCTCTCTCTTCTACATGTTGCGTCATTGAACATACTAAGAATAGAAAAATTCACTGTTGCGTGACGCCAAAATGTTGTATTTTCTCATCAGCAGAAGATGGGGTTCCCGCACAAACCAGTATAGTTGTTGGAGAAGGAATGCACTCTGAGTTATGTATTAAAGAAAGAGTTTAATGACATAATCAGAATACATCAAGTCCAATTCAGGCTCAGTGCTTTCAGCCTGGGTCAGCTCAGAGGATGATGATGGCATGACTGACCCCGCACACACAGAGGACTAGGATCTTATAGATTGTTGAAGAAGTCATAAGACACAGTCACAAGATTCTAGTAAAAGCAAACCATACATTAAGGACAGCCATGTGCAACATTAGTGCTGCTCACACGTCTGCCTCATGACTGAGAAAAGGATCATTAGAGTCAGCTGCTTCTACCATTTTGACCCAAATGTCCCCAACACATTTTGAAGATACATGCTTTATATGTAGAAGTTATAATAGCAGACACTACACACACAATCAGAGTCTGCGTAGAGTCTTGCAGCACACAATGTAAGGTGACAGCAGTACAGTGAAGTAAAGTGACGTATGATGGGCAGTAAAGTGACTTTATAAAGGGCGGGGGGACAGGTTAAGAAGTGTTCAAGAGTCCAACAGCAGAGGGGAAGAAACTGTTCTAGTGGCGGGAGGTTCTAGTCCTGATGGACCGCAGCCTCCTGCCTGAGGGGAGTGGTTGGAATAGTCCATGTGCAGGTGAGAGGGGAGTGGTTGGAATAGTCCATGTGCAGGTGAGAGGGGAGTGGTTGGAATAGTCCATGTGCAGGTGAGAGGGGAGTGGTTGGAATAGTCCATGTGCAGGTGAGAGGGGAGTGGTTGGAATAGTCCATGTGCAGGTGAGAGGGGAGTGGTTGGAATAGTCCATGTGCAGGTGAGAGGGGAGTGGTTGGAATAGTCCATGTGCAGGGTGAGAGGGGAGTGGTTGGAATAGTCCATGTGCAGGTGAGAGGGGAGTGGTTGGAATAGTCCATGTGCAGGTGAGAGGGGAGTGGTTGGAATAGTCCATGTGCAGGTGAGAGGGGAGTGGTTGGAATAGTCCATGTGCAGGTGAGAGGGGAGTGGTTGGAATAGTCCATGTGCAGGTGAGAGGGGAGTGGTTGGAATAGTCCATGTGCAGGGTGAGAGGGGTCGGCTGTGATACGACCAGCCCGGCCTCGAGCTCGGGCGACGTACAGGTCCTGCAGCGATGGAAGGCTGCGGCCGATCACTTCCTCTGCAGAGCGCACAATGCGCTGTAGTCTCTGTTTGTCCCTGACTGTGGCTCCAGCGAACCACACGGTGATGGAGGAGGTGACGGAGGAGGTGATGGAGGAGGTGATGGAGGAGGTGATGGAGGAGGTGAAGGAGGAGGTGATGGAGGAGGTGATGGAGGAGGGGATGGAGGAGGTGAGGAGGAGGTGATGGAGGAAGTGATGGAGGAGGTGATGGAGGAAGTGATGGAGGAGGTGATGAGGAGGTGATCAGATTCAGATTCATTTATTTGCCATTTGCAGTAAAACCACATTGGAAAAACTGTGCAAGACTACCCCGGTGTGCGCCAGACAGAGAAGACGACACACAGCAGAGCTCATGCGACAAACAGTAGAATAAACAGCAGAGAGCAATAACACACAGTTTCACAGACAGTTGGATAGACACATTGTGCTTTGTATAAAGCACGGATTTTTTTCTCGGGATGAGCACCTCCAACTGCCAGCCCAATGTGGCTGTCAGAGGGGGGCGGGGTCAGGGAGGGGGCGGGGTCAGGGAGGGGGTGAGTCGGAAACACAATGAGGACAGGAGGGAGGGAGAAGATGGATAGGTAGAGGGAGGCGGGGGAACGGGATCCTTGCTGAAGACTGAAATAGTGTGAGATTGTTGTAGATGGGACCTTGTTATTATAGAAACACATCGCCTCAGGGGGACAATATTAAATGCAATGTAGCAGTCAAAAACAGGCAGATATTCTATTAAATCCCATTAATCCGAATTGCGGCGCCCTCAGACCCCGTACACAGGGGCAAATCCAAGCCGGGTCAGAGAGTTCAAGCGTGACACACAATGTCATTCAATCTCAACTCCAATGTTTTAATGTTTTATTCCCTTCGAGTGAACGAGCTGCAAGATCTTTTATCAACTGTTCCACCAACACCACTCTCCTTTGACCAGACACGGCACTCTCAACCACCACACGGCTTAACTCCTTGTACATCCCATCAATTTTGTCGGCCAGCAGGTCGTGAATCTTGCGAACTGCCATGCCTCCGAATTTGTGGTAGAAGAGGATCGCTCCAAACCCAAACAGGAGGATCCCCACCACCAAAATGCCAAAGATATATACGTCTTCCGAATCTTCAATAGACAGGGTCGACAGACAGAGGGGCTGCCACTTGTTCCAGCTGTCAAGAGTATACCCCGCTGGTGAAGTCCCGTCCGGGCACTCGGGCTCTCCAGACCCACGCTAACGTGTTGAAAAGATAGAATCAATTGCGTTGAGGGACCAGTTAATCATTTCCATTCTTGTTAAAGTTGTCTGTGGCAAAACTCCAGGAAAAAGACAAAAACAGGAGATAGCAGCAGTCAGAAGCAGGAGCGTCTGAGACACGTCTGTGCTCGACGGAGGCGGAAGAAGAAGTGATGGAGGAGGTGATGGAGGAGGTGATGAGGAGGTGATGGAGGAGGTGATGGAGGAGGTGATGAGGAGGTGATGAGGAGATGATGGAGGAGGTGATGAGGAGGTGATGGAGGAGGTGATTAGGAGGTGATGAATTAGGAGGTGATGAGGAGGTGATGGAGGAGGTGATGGAGGAGGTGATGAGGAGGTGATGAGGAGGTGATGGAAAAGGTAATGGAGGAGGTGAAGGAGGAGGTGATGAGGAGGTGATGGAGGAGGTGATGGAGGAGGTGATGGAGGAGGTGATGGAGGAGGTGATGAGGAGGTGATGGAGGAGGTGATGAGGAGGTGATGCAGGAGGTGATGAAGGAGGTGATGGAGGAGGTGATGAGGAGGTGATGGAGGAGGTGATGAGGAGGTGATGAGGAGGTGATGGAAAAGGTAATGGAGGAGGTGAAGGAGGAGGTGATGAGGAGGTGATGGAGGAGGTGATGGAGGAGGTGATGAGGAGGTGATGGAGGAGGTGATGGAGGAGGTGATGGAGGAGGTGATGAGGAGGTGAAGGAGGAGGTGATGAGGAGGTGATGGAGGAGGTGATGGAGGAGGTGATGAGGAGGTGATGGAGGAGGTGATGGAGGAGGTGATGAGGAGGTGATGGAGGAGGTGATGAGGAGGTGATGGAGGAGGTGAGGATGGACTCGATGATGGCCGTGTAGAACTGCACCAACATCTGTGCAGGCAGCTTGGCTTTCCTGAGCTGCCGCAGGAAGTACATCCTCTGCTGGGCCTTCTTGATGAGGGAGCTGATGGTCGGCTCCCACTTGAGGTCCTGGGTGATGGTGGTGCCCAGGAAATGGAAGGACTCCACAGAGGTGATGGGGGAGTCCATCACGGAGGGTGGGGGTGGGGGGACAGTGCTCTTCCTGAAGTCCACAATCATCTCCACTGTCTTCTGGGCGTTCAGCTCCAGGTTGTTACCACTGCACCAGGACACCAGCCGGTCCACCTCCCTCCTGTAGGAGACACCAGGACACCAGCCGGTCCATCTCCCTCCTGTAGGAGACACCAGGACACCAGCCGGTCCACCTCCCTCCTGGTAGGAGACCCCAGCCGGTCCTCCCTCCTGTAGGAGACACCAGGACACCAGCCGGTCCACCTCCCTCCTGTAGGAGACACCAGGACACCAGCCGGTCCACCTCCCCTGTAGGAGACACCAGGACACCAGCCGGTCCTGTAGGAGACACCAGGACACCAGCCGGTCCACCTCCCTCCTGTAGGAGACACCAGGACACCAGCCGGTCCACCTCCCTCCTGTAGGAGACACCAGGACACCAGCCGGTCCACCTCCCTCCTGTAGGAGACCAGCCAGTCCACCTCCCTCCTGTAGGAGACACCAGGACACCAGCCGGTCCACCTCCCTCCTGTAGGAGACACCAGGACACCTCCTCCTGTAGGAGACACCAGGACACCAGCCGGTCCACCTCCTCCTGTAGGAGACACCAGGACACCAGCCGGTCCACCTCCCTCCTGTAGGAGACACCAGGGCTGTATCCGAATGTCCACACTATACCCTATCCACTCACTCACTATATATTTCGGGACTATATAGTTCGGGACTATATAGCGACTGAGTGAGTGAGTCAGTGCACTCATTCTGTTGGCGATTCGGACAGCTGCACACTATTTTTAGCCGCGGCCCACATCACACCCCTGTCAGATGTCATTGGATCAATATAATTTTATATATAAATAAAAGTATATTAAAATATCAATATTTGTCTAATATACATGTATAAAATGTTTTTACAATTTATATTCATATTTATGAATTTTGGTTGACGTCTTTCATATTCCCGCCACCTGACCGGCTCCTCTAACACCGGTGAAATGGCACCTCCACTGAATTTTGCGGTGTTTTTCATAACTATTATACAAGTTATCATAATGCGAATTAAAAACCGCCGAACAGAGAGAAGGCGAAGACAGGCGATGAGGGCTCTTCGTTCATTAGCAAGGCGTCGTGTAAGTATTGTATTCGTCCTTTGTCTATATAGCATTAACACCATCTACTGGGTAAATTATAGTACTTACTAATTCAAAATACTATTCTCAGTCAATGAGAAACACATTAGTCATATACATTTAGACATATTTCAACAAGAAAACACATTGTATAGACACACTCACTTAAAATGCAAGAACATTAAAATATTTTATTGGTTGAAAGAACACAAAACCATAGCAAGGGAAATGGATTAAGTACTCATTTTTTCTAAATGAAAAATGAGTACTTGATCATTAAACAATAATAGAATTTGCTTGGCCATGGGGCACAGGGCTTCTGTGATTTTTTTTGTGTGTTATTAGGTGCGAGTGATGTAGTGAGGGTTTCTACTTCAGTTGTCTCAGGGCAGCTCCAGCTCCCTGCAACACACAATACATTTGGCAAAATCAATGCCAGGGCACAAAAGAACATGACTTCAGCTATATACTCTTCATTTTTATTTACATTTTTAAATCTCAAAATGAAAAATGAGTACTTATTCCTGTGTCTGCACTCATAACTAAAAGTGCAGATACAGAATTAAAAAATGAATCTAGAAGCATCATATTAAGTTTAAGAGAATTTTTGTTTTGTTTTAGGGTGAACCACCGGTGTACTGCCGACTGAACCACCATGTACCCCTACTCAGCATGTACTTAAATGGCCAGTCTGACCTTCGCCCCGATTTTCGTCTCACTCGAACCACCATCACCCGTCTGGTTAGCCACCTGAGGAGTGCTCATCACCAGGGCTGGAGCCAGGACATGGAGGTTTTGGTCTTCCTCTTTTGGTTGGCCAGTGGCACCGCGTACCGTGTTGTCGCCAGGGCATTTGACATGCCCCAGTCCACAGTCCACGATGTGATCCACAGGGTGGCCAACCAGATCCTTCAAATGCGTGGCCAAATAATTCATTTCCCTTCCCTGGAGGAACTTCCCCAAGTTGCAGCTGGGTTTCAGTTGCTGGCTGGATCAGCTGCTCTCAATAATGTTGTGGGGAGCATCGACGGCTGCCACATTAGAATAAAGCCCCTTCAAGAAAATGCACAGTGTTATTTTAACAGGAAATTGTTTTATTCTATTCAAATGCAGGCTGTGTGTAATCACCGTGGCTTATTTATTGATTTGTTTGTTGGCTACCCCGGATCTGTGCACGATTCTCGAGTGCTTAAAAACAGCCCCCTCTACGTCCACCGGCTCTATCCCCCAAATGGACACGTCCTCCTTGGGGATGGTGGCTACCCTTGCCTCCGTCAGCCCATCACACTCCTCCCTCCATACAGAGAGCCTGTTCGGAGCCCAGTGGAAGCCCGCTTCAACCGGCACCATGCACGGGCACGATCTGTAACAGAAAGAGCGTTTGACATGATGAAGGCAAGATGGCGATCCATTTTTTTCCAAGGCACTGGAAGTCCAACCCACCTTTGCAGTCCAGGTGACTGCCTGTTGCGCCATCCTGCACAACATCTGCGTCAGCGATGGTGATCTCTGGGAGCCAGTGGAAGAGGAGCCAGGGCCTGATGATGAACAGGACCAGCATCAGCAGCACCAGCCTGATCAGCAGTGTGGACAGGAGCTGCGTGGACGGATGGCAGCAGCACTTTCCACCCCAAGGGACTATTAATTAAATGTTTGAATAATCTGTGTTTTGGCCTATTTAAATAAAAACAAAAACAATTGAATATGTAAATATCTAAAAAGAAATTGTTGAATGTATGTATAGTTTTCTTTACAAATGTCTAGTTGATTAAATTTTTTGTGTGTAAATAGTGTGCATCATTGTATGTCCATATGCATATAGTTCACACTACACTTATCAAAATACATTTTTATCTACTATTTACAACTTCTCTCCAACAAACTCAACAGTCTCTCCTTTCTCTCTTCCTCTCTTCTTCCCCTCTCCTCTTCTCGCTTCTCCCTTTCCTCTTCCTTCTTCTCCACCTTCTCCAAAAAACTAATTCAACTCTCCCTCCTCGGCCTCTTGGCTGCCACACTGCTTTCCTCTTCCTCTTTCCTCCCCCATGGATGAGGCAATCAGGCAGGGAGGCTGCACGGATGGCCTGCTGCCTATTGCCTCATCCATGAGGGAGTACCACTTCCAAGATATGGCGATGGGCTCCCCTCCTTCTGTCCCTGTCCCTGTCCGTGGCTGTCTGAGCTCCTTAAAACAGTGAGTTTTATATAATATATGCTTCACAAATTAGCTTCAAAGAAACAAACCTTGTAGGTCTTTTTCAGGTTCTCCCACTTCTTGGCCGCTCTGGCAGGGCTGATCAGGCGGCTCAGCCCCATTTCCTTTATCACTGCCCTAAAGTAACGATACATAAAAACATTTGAATATGAGTAGACGTTTTTTGAATAAGTATTTATTCATAATGGTCATACTCCCATCCAGCCGCCGAAGCAAATTTTTCACCCGCAGTCAGATGAGTCTCTCCACATCAGTGTCTGTCCCTTTAAAAAACATTAAACACACAATAAATGCTATACATATAACACAAGTGCTTTAATAACATTAATGACTGACCACCAGTGACCCGTTTCTGTAGCGTTCGCTTTAGATGTTAATGTTATGATATGCGAAAATGCTAACACTTTCGCGGCATAACATTGGTACGTTGTTTTGCAGTAAAAGGCAATGGTATTCAAATGTGTATTTTGGCAGCTTATCGTCAACAATATATCACGGTTTACACATTTACATATTTATGATGATTAAAAACTCACATTTGTAGCTCATGTCCCGCTCCGCGTCCAGCTCGTCTCTCTGTGCCTCCGCCATTTTACTTCCGTATAGTGACCATCGTCGCTGCTCACTACATGTTCGAGATGCATTGTGGGAAAATTCCAGTGCACTACTTTTTCTCTCTGGACATTCGGACACCCCTACAAAATGGCGTGACCACTATATAGTGCACTATATAGGGTATAGTGTGGACATTCGGATACAGCCCTGGACACCAGCCGGTCCACCTCCCTCCTGTAGGAGACACCAGGACACCAGCCGGTCCACCTCCCTCCTGTAGGAGACACCAGGACACCAGCCGGTCCACCTCCCTCCTGTAGGAGACACCAGGACACCAGCCGGTCCACCTCCCTCCTGTAGGAGACACCAGGACACCAGCCGGTCCACCTCCCTCCTGTAGGAGACACCAGGACACCAGCCGGTCCACCTCCCTCCTGTAGGAGACACCAGGACACCAGCCGGTCCACCTCCCTCCTGTAGGAGACACCAGCCGGTCCACCTCCCTCCTGTAGGAGACACCAGGACACCAGCCGGTCCACCTCCCTCCTGTAGGAGACACCAGGACACCAGCCGGTCCACCTCCCTCCTGTAGGCGGACTCATCGTTGTTGGAGATGAGTCCAATGAGGGTGGTGTCGTCCGCGAACTTGATCAGCTTCACGGAGTCGTGGCTGGAGGTGCAGTGGTTGGTGTACAGGGAGAAGAGCAGGGGAGAAAGAACACAGCCCTGTGGGGCTCCTGTATTTATAATCCGAGAGTCCGAGACATTCTTCCCCAGACGCACTCGCTGCTTCCTGTCCGTCAGGAAGTCAGTGATCCACCTGCAGGTGGAATCGGGCACGTTGAGCTGGGAGAGCTTGTCCTGGAGCAGGGACAAGCTCTCTAGTCTTTCTCTGGTCTCTCTCTGGTCTCTCTCTCTGGTCTCTCTCTGGTCTCTCTCTGGTCTCTCTCTCGGGTCTCTCTCTCTGGTCTCTCTCTCTGGTCTCTCTCTGGTCTCTCTCTGGTCTCTCTTTGGTCTCTCTCTGGTCTCTCTGTCTGGTCTCTACCTCTGGTCTCTCTCTGGTCTCTCTCTAGCCTCTCTCTCTGGTCTTTCTCTGGTCTCTCTCTGGTCTCTCTCTGGTCTCTTTCTGGTCTCTCCCTGGTCTCTCTCTCGAGTCTCTCTCTCTGGTCTCTCTCTCTGGTCTCTCTCTCTGGTCTCTCTCTCTGGTCTCTCTCTGGTCTCTCTCTGGTCTCTCTCTGGTCTCTCTTTGGTCTCTCTCTAGTCTCTCTCTGGTCTCTCTCTGGTCTCTCTCTGGTCTCTCTCTCGGGTCTCTCTCTGGTCTCTCTCTCGGGTCTCTCTCTCTGGTCTCTCTCTGGTCTCTCTCTGGTCTCTCTCTGGTCTCTCTCTGGTCTCTCTCTGGTCTCTCTAGTCTCTCTCTGGTCTCTCTCTGATCCCTCTCTGTGGTCAGGACAAAACCAGACACCGCCCTCTTGTGTCCAGACCTGGTACTACCTGCAGCTCAGCCTTTAAACACACAGATTTCCCAAATACACAGCAGAGAGTATTTTCAAAACCCAGAGACGTCAGAACCTCCTGTAGGACTGGACTCGGGTCTGTAGGACTGGACTCAGGTCTGTAGGACTGGACTCGGGGTCTGTAGGACTGGACTCGGGTCTGTAGGACTGGACTCAGGGTCTGTAGGACTGGACTCGGGTCTGTAGGACTGGACTCGGGTCTGTAGGACTGGACTCGGGTCTGTAGGACTGGACTCGGGTCTGTAGGACTGGACTCGGGTCTGTAGGACTGGACTCGGGGTCTGCAGGACTGGACTCGGGGTCTGCAGGACTGGACTCGGGGTCTGCAGGACTGGACTCGGGGTTCTATCCAGACCGAGCCGGTTCTAAAGTGACAGTGCTGATAGAAGACGTGGTTACCCAGGAATTTCCCAGATACAGGTTTGTTGTAGAGTATTTATTTGTTCAGCACAGTTCACAGTGAGCGACAAACACAGGTCTCTAACTCTAACCCAGAAGTCCTCAGAGACGACTGCAGCTGTGCTTTTAGAGCCACAGGCGCAGTGTGGTCTTTACACAGCTGTATACAAGTCACATGACACAGCAGCAGCTGATTCTGTGACAAAAACAATCATTCTGAAAATAATCACTAACACCTGTGTAATTAACCACTAACACCTGTATAATTAACCACTGACACCTGTATAATTAACCACTGACACCTGTATAATTAACCACTAACACCTGTGTAAATAACCACTAACACCTGTATAATTAACCACTAACACCTGTATAATTAACCACTAACACCTGTGTAATTAACCACTAACACCTGTATAATTAATCACTAACACCTGTGTAATTAACCACTAACACCTGTATAATTAACCACTGACACCTGTATAATGAACCACTAACACCTGTATAATTAACCACTAACACCTGTATAAATAAAGTAATCTGGTAACTAGTAAAGTAATCTGGTCTAGTAAAGTAATTCTGGTCTAGTAAAGTAATCTGGTCTAGTAAAGTAATCTGGTCTAGTAAAGTAATCTGGTCTAGTAAAGTAATCTGGTCTAGTAAAGTAATCTGGTCTGGTAAAGTAATCTGGTCTAGTAAAGTAATCTGGTCTAGTAAAGTAATCTGGTCTAGTAAAGTAATCTGGTCTAGTAAAGTATTCTGGTCTAGTAAAGTATCTGGTCTAGTAAAGTATTCTGGTCTAGTAAAGTAATCTGGTCTAGTAAAGTAATCTGGTCTAGTAAAGTAATCTGGTCTAGTAAAGTATTCTGGTCTAGTAAAGTAATCTGGTCTAGTAAAGTATTCTGGTCTAGTAAAGTAATCTGGTCTAGTAAAGTAATCTGGTCTAGTAAAGTAATCTGGTCTAGTAAAGTATTCTGGTCTAGTAAAGTAATCTGGTCTAGTAAAGTATTCTGGTCTAGTAAAGTAATCTGGTCTAGTAAAGTAATCTGGTCTAGTAAAGTAATCTGGTCTAGTAAAGTAATCTGGTCTGGTAAAGTAATCTGGTCTGGTAAAGTAATCTGGTCTAGTAAAGTAATCTGGTCTAGTAAAGTATTCTGGTCTAGTAAAGTAATCTGGTCTAGTAAAGTATTCTGGTCTAGTAAAGTATTCTGGTCTAGTAAAGTATTCTGGTCTAGTAAAGTATTCTGGTCTAGTAAAGTATTCTGGTCTAGTAAAGTAATCTGGTCTAGTAAAGTAATCTGGTCTAGTAAAGTATTCTGGTCTAGTAAAGTATTCTGGTCTAGTAAAGTATTCTGGTCTAGTAAAGTAATCTGGTCTAGTAAAGTAATCTGGTCTGGTAAAGTAATCTGGTCTGGTAAAGTAATCTGGTCTGGTAAAGTAATCTGGTCTAGTAAAGTATTCTGGTCTAGTAAAGTAATCTGGTCTGGTAAAGTAATCTGGTCTAGTAAAGTAATCTGGTCTAGTAAAGTATTCTGGTCTAGTAAAGTAATCTGGTCTAGTAAAGTATTCTGGTCTAGTAAAGTAATCTGGTCTAGTAAAGTAATCTGGTCTAGTAAAGTAATCTGGTCTAGTAAAGTAATCTGGTCTGGTAAAGTAATCTGGTCTGGTAAAGTATTCTGGTCTAGTAAAGTATTCTGGTCTAGTAAAGTATTCTGGTCTAGTAAAGTATTCTGGTCTAGTAAAGTATTCTGGTCTGGTAAAGTAATCTGGTCTAGTAAAGTAATCCGGTCTAGTAAAGTATTCTGGTCTGGTAAAGTATTCTGGTCTAGTAAAGTATTCTGGTCTAGTAAAGTATTCTGGTCTAGTAAAGTAATCTGGTCTGGTAAAGTAATCTGGTCTGGTAAAGTAATCTGGTCTAGTAAAGTATTCTGGTCTAGTAAAGTAATCTGGTCTGGTAAAGTAATCTGGTCTGGTAAAGTAATCTGGTCTGGTAAAGTATTCTGGTCTAGTAAAGTAATCTGGTCTAGTAAAGTAATCTGGTCTAGTAAAGTATTCTGGTCTAGTAAAGTAATCTGGTCTAATCTGGTCTAGTAAAGTATTCTGGTCTAGTAAAGTAATCTGGTCTAGTAAAGTATTCTGGTCTAGTAAAGTAATCTGGTCTAGTAAAGTATTCTGGTCTAGTAAAGTAATCTGGTCTAGTAAAGTAATCTGGTCTAGTAAAGTAATCTGGTCTAGTAAAGTATTCTGGTCTAGTAAAGTAATCTGGTCTAGTAAAGTATTCTGGTCTAGTAAAGTAATCTGGTCTAGTAAAGTATTCTGGTCTAGTAAAGTAATCTGGTCTAGTAAAGTATTCTGGTCTAGTAAAGTAATCTGGTCTAGTAAAGTAATCTGGTCTAGTAAAGTATTCTGGTCTAGTAAAGTAATCTGGTCTAATCTGGTCTAGTAAAGTATTCTGGTCTAGTAAAGTAATCTGGTCTAGTAAAGTATTCTGGTCTAGTAAAGTAATCTGGTCTGGTAAAGTATTCTGGTCTAGTAAAGTATTCTGGTCTAGTAAAGTAATCTGGTCTAGTAAAGTAATCTGGTCTAGTAAAGTATTCTGGTCTAGTAAAGTAATCTGGTCTAGTAAAGTATTCTGGTCTAGTAAAGTAATCTGGTCTAGTAAAGTATTCTGGTCTAGTAAAGTAATCTGGTCTAGTAAAGTATTCTGGTCTAGTAAAGTAATCTGGTCTGGTTCTATCAAGAAACTGAAGCAGGAGAAAGAGGAATGTTTAGCAAATGTAATCACTGGAAGAAATTGTGGCGCTACTCCCCACGGGCTCCGTTAGCGGCAAAGGAGATGGCTAAAGCTAGGCTAAATGCTAATGCTAACAACTCACTCGGGCTCATTACATACGTCACAGTAAACTCAGATCCAATCTAAAACTATAAATGAGAAAGTAGGAACTAAAGTCTGGCGTTGTGTGTTTCAGGAGTGCGTAAATACGGCAAACACTTCCAGGCGATCGCAGACGTGATCGGGAACAAGACGGTGGGGCAGGTCAAGAACTTCTTTGTGAACTACCGGCGGCGCTTCAACCTGGAGGAGGTGCTGCAGGAGTGGGAGGCAGAGCAGGGGACCCGAGCCCCCAACGGAGACAGCGCCCCCGGTGGAGAGGAGGGCAAGAGCAGCACGCCAGCCTCAGGGAAGAGCACGGACGAGGAGGACGAGGAGGTGAGGCTGTGTTAGCATGTTAGCATTGTCCATCTGTATCCAGTCTGTGTTAGCATGTTAGCATTGTCCATCTGTATCCAGTCTGTGTTAGCATGTTAGCATGTTAGCATTGTCCATCTGTATCCAGTCTGTGTTAGCATGTTAGCATTGTCTAGTGAGATAGTTATATTTAGTAAAGTATAAGGTGTGTGTGTTCCAGGTCTCGTCAGGGGCCTCTCCAGCCGCCTCCTCTTCATCCCTCCCCCCCTCCTCCTCCTCCTCCTCCTCCCTGCACCAGCCCCCCCCTCTCCTGCGCCCCTCCCTCCCCTCGGCCCCCGCGCTGCACCGCCACCCGCCGCCGCTGCAGCAGCAGGCGCGCTTCCTGCAGCCGCGCGCCGCTCTGCACCAGCCGCCGCCGCTGATCCGACCCACGGGGACCGCCCCTCAGCCGCCGCGACTGAACCCCAGACCCCAGCAGACCTCCTCCTCCACCTCCTCCACCTCCACCTCCTCCACCTCTGCTGCTGCATCAGGGAGCGCGCAGACGGAGACGACGCACTGAAGACGTTCAAGACGCCGTCACGGACTCAGAATCGTTAAATGTATTTGTGTGTCGCCCTAAAAATGTTGTCGATTCACCAACAGCAGAAAATCAAACTGTAGACCCAGGACTGAGGCTGTAGACCCAGGACTGAGGCTGTAGACCCAGGACTGAGGATGTAGACCCAGGACTGAGGCTGTAGACCCAGGACTGAGGCTGTAGACCCAGGACTGAGGATGTAGACCCAGGACTGAGACTGTAGACCCAGGACTGAGGCTGTAGACCCAGGACTGAGGATGTAGACCCAGGACTGAGACTGTAGACCCAGGACTGAGGCTGTAGACCCAGGACTGAGGATGTAGACCCAGGACTGAGACTGTAGACCCAAGACTGAGGCTGTAGACCCAGGACTGAGGATGTAGACCCAGGACTGAGGCTGTAGACCCAGGACTGAGGCTGTAGACCCAGGACTGAGGATGTAGACCCAGGACTGAGACTGTAGACCCAAGGACTGAGGCTGTAGACCCAGGACTGAGGATGTAGACCCAGGACTGAGGCTGTAGACCCAGGACTGAGGCTGTAGACCCAGGACTGAGGCTGTAGACCCAGGACTGAGGCTGTAGACCCAGGACTGAGGCTGTAGACCCAGGACTGAGGCTGTAGACCCAGGACTGAGGATGTAGACCCAGGACTGAGACTGTAGACCCAGGACTGAGGCTGTAGACCCAGGACTGAGACTGTAGACCCAGGACTGAGGCTGTAGACCCAGGACTGAGGATGTAGACCCAGGACTGAGACTGTAGACCCAGGACTGAGGCTGTAGACCCAGGACTGAGGATGTAGACCCAGGACTGAGGCTGTAGACCCAGGACTGAGGCTGTAGACCCAGGACTGAGGCTGTAGACCCAGGACTGAGGCTGTAGACCCAGGACTGAGGCTGTAGACCCAGGACTGAGGCTGTAGACCCAGGACTGAGGCTGTAGACCCAGGACTGAGACTGCTTCACTCTTTAGTAAAGTAGTCATTTATTTTTATTTTTAACTTATATTGAAGTCCTTCCAAATGTGTTGTTTCCTACATTACCCATGATGCTTTGGGGTTGGGCAAATATTTCAAACGTTATTTCCCACTTTTCAATTTTTTGGATTTAAAAAGTTAGTCTTCAATAAATAAAATATAAATGTATCGATGGTGTTTCTGTTCAGACGGAACTGAGCCAGAGAGAGACCAGAGAGAGAGACCAGAGAGAGAGACCAGAGAGAGAGACCAGAGAGAGAGACCAGAGAGAGACCAGAGAGAGAGACCAGAGAGAGACCAGAGAGAGACCAGAGAGAGAGACCAGAGAGAGAGACCAGAGATAGACCAGAGAGAGAGACCAGAGAGAGAGACCAGAGAGAGAGACCAGAGAGAGAGACCAGAGAGAGAGACCAGAGAGAGAGACCAGAGAGAGAGACCAGAGAGAGAGACCAGAGAGAGACCAGAGAGAGAGACCAGAGAGAGAGACCAGAGAGAGAGACCAGAGAGAGAGACCAGAGAGAGAGACCAGAGAGAGAGACCAGAGAGAGAGACCAGAGAGAGACCAGAGAGAGAGACCAGAGAGAGAGACCAGAGAGAGAGAGAGACCAGAGAGAGAGACCAGAGAGAGAGACCAGAGAGAGAGAGACCAGAGAGAGAGACCAGAGAAAGAGACACCAGAGAGAGACACCAGAGAGACACCAGAGAGAGAGACCAGAGAGAGAGACACCAGAGAGAGAGACCAGAGAGAGAGACCAGAGAGAGAGACCAGAGAGAGACCAGAGAGAGAGACCAGAGAGAAAGACACCAGAGAGAGAGACCAGAGAGAGACCAGAGAGAGACCAGAGAGAGACCAGAGAGAGAGACCAGAGAGAGACCAGAGAGAGAGACCAGAGAGAGAGACCAGAGAGAGACCAGAGATAGAGACCAGAGAGAGAGACCAGAGAGAGACCAGAGAGAGAGACCAGAGAGAGACCAGAGAGAGAGACCAGAGAGAGAGACCAGAGAGAGAGACCAGAGAGAGACCAGAGAGAGAGACCAGAGAGAGAGACCAGAGAGAGACACCAGAGAGAGACCAGAGAGAGACCAGAGAGAGACCAGAGAGAGAGACACCAGAGAGAGAGACCAGAGAGAGAGACCAGAGAGAGAGACCAGAGAGAGACCAGAGAGAGAGACCAGAGAGAAAGACACCAGAGAGAGAGACCAGAGAGAGACCAGAGAGAGACCAGAGAGAGACCAGAGAGAGAGACCAGAGAGAGACCAGAGAGAGAGACCAGAGAGAGACCAGAAAGTAAATGAACAGAATGAAAACAGTTGTTGTGATCTCACATAGTTTATTGTCGGACACAGACAGTCACGGGTCACTGTGGTCTCTGGGTCTCAGTCCGGGGCTCGGGATCTCTGTTGGCCGGACCGGACATGGACCGGATCAGGACCAGGGGCGTGGCCAAGGCTCCGTGGGGGGCGGAGCTTGGATCCAAGATGGCGGCGCTCAGGAGAAGTGTGGCATCCGGCTGCACGTCCTGAAACAGTAAAGTCAGAGGTCAGAGAGAGACCAGAGAGAGACCAGAGGGAGACCAGAGGGAGACCAGAGGGAGACCAGAGGGAGACCAGAGGGAGACCAGAGGAAGACCAGAGGAAGACCAGAGGAAGACCAGAGGGAGACCAGAGGGAGACCAGAGAGAGAGCAGAGAGAGAGAGACCAGAGAAAGACACAGATCAGAGACGCACCATACATTTATGGTTCTTAAATTCTCACAGTTAGTGAACATCTGGTATTAACCGGTGCTTGTACAGTAAAGACTAAAAGTTTGGACACACCTTCTCATTCAGAGTTTTTTATCTTCATGACGATCAAAATAGTAGATTGACACTGAAGGCCTCAAACCTATGAATGAACTCATGTGAATTATCCTTCTTCAAAGGTTCTTCAAAGTAGAACCTCTGCTCTGATACTGCTTCACTCTGTGGTCCAGCCAAAACCTTCTGGACTGGGTTCAGGTCCAAAACCTTCTGGACTGGGTTCAGGTCCAAAACCAACTGGACTGGGTTCAGGTCCAAAACCATCTGGACTGGGTTCAGGTCCAAAACCATCTGGACTGGGTTCAGGTCCAAAACCATCTGGACTGGGTTCAGGTCCAAAACCATCTGGACTGGGTTCAGGTCCAAAACCTTCTGGACTGGATTCAGGTCCAAATCCATCTGGACAGGGTTCAGGTCCAAAACCATCTGGACTGGGTTCAGGTCCAAAACCAACTGGACTGGGTTCAGGTCCAAAACCATCTGGACTGGGTTCAGGTCCAAAACCATCTGGACTGGGTTCAAGTCCAAAACCATCTGGACTGGGTTCAGGTCCAAAACCATCTGGACTGGGTTCAGGTCCAAAACCATCTGGACTGGGTTCAGGTCCAAAACCAACTGGACTGGGTTCAGGTCCAAAACCATCTGGACTGGGTTCAGGTCCAAAACCATCTGGACTGGGTTCAGGTCCAAAACCATCTGGACTGGGTTCAAGTCCAACACCATCTGGACTGGGTTCAGGTCCAAAACCATCTGGACTGGGTTCAGGTCCAAAACCATCTGGACTGGGTTCAGGTCCAAAACCATCTGGACTGGGTTCAGGTCCAAAACCATCTGGACTGGGTTCAGGTCCAAAACCATCTGGACTGGGTTCAGGTCCCTTGCACAGCCTGGTGTCAATCTACAGGCAATACTCATGATCAGAAAGGGTGTCCAAACTTTTGCCCTGTAATGTACATGGTCATTCCCTGGTCTACATCTGGTATTTACCAGTGCTCATACATGGTCCACATCTGGTATTTACCGGTGCTCATACATGGTCCACATCTGGTATTTACCGGTGCTCATACATGGTCCACATCTGGTATTTACCGGTGCTCATACATGGTCTACATCTGGTATTTACCGGTGCTCATACATGGTCTACATCTGGTATTTACCGGTGCTCATACATGGTCCACATCTGGTATTTACCGGTGCTCATACATGGTCTACATCTGGTATTTACCGGTGCTCATACATGGTCTACATCTGGTATTTACCGGTGCTCATACATGGTCCACATCTGGTATTTACCGGTGCTCATACATGGTCCAAATCTGGTATTTACCGGTGCTCATACATGGTCCACATCTGGTATTTACCGGTGCTCATACATGGTCCACATCTGGTATTTACCGGTGCTCATACATGGTCCACATCTGGTATTTACCGGTGCTCATACAGGTCCACATCTGGTATTTACCGGTGCTCATACATGGTCCACATCTGGTATTTACCGGTGCTCATACATGGTCTACATCTGGTATTTACCGGTGCTCATACATGGTCTACATCTGGTATTTACCGGTGCTCATACATGGTCCACATCTGGTATTTACCGGTGCTCATACATGGTCTACATCTGGTATTTACCGGTGCTCATACATGGTCCACATCTGGTATTTACCGGTGCTCATACATGGTCCACATCTGGTATTTACCGGTGCTCATACATGGTCCACATCTGGTATTTACCGGTGCTCATACATGGTCCACATCTGGTATTTACCGGTGCTCATACATGGTCTACATCTAGTATTTACCGGTGCTCATACATGGTCCACATCTGGTATTTACCGGTGCTCATACATGGTCCACATCTAGTATTTACCGGTGCTCATACATGGTCTACATCTGGTATTTACCGGTGCTCATACATGGTCCACATATGGTATTTACCGGTGCTCATACACTGTCTACATCTGGTATCTACCGGTGCTCATACATGGTCCACATCTGGTATTTACCGGTGCTCATATATGGTCCACATCTGGTATTTACCGGTGCTCATACATGGTCCACATCTGGTATTTACCGGTGCTCATACATGGTCTACATCTGGTATTTACCGGTGCTCATACATGGTCCACATCTGGTATTTACCGGTGCTCATACATGGTCCACATCTGGTATTTACCGGTGCTCATACATGGTCTACATCTGGT